TCAGCTGGGTCCAGTATGATAAAGAGTTTATCGTCTGTTCTTTGGATCTTCTCTCTGGACTTGCAGAAGGTCTTGGCAGTGGAGTAGAAAGTTTGGTGCGTCAATTCTCCAGGCATTATATGCGTCTGTTAATGCACCTACTTCAAATGCATTCTGTTAGGATGTTATCCTGGTTGACAAAATATTATGTTTGTACTTTTCCGAAATTTTTGCTGACCTCCTGTGGTGTGGGTCAATGAATGAAAATATTGTATAATACAAAGCCATTTTTTATGTTTAAATCTGAAATTGTCCAAAATTTTTTAATCTTCTTCTTCTGATAGGATCTTGTTTGTTGGAAGAAAAAGAAATCAATGAAATAGAGAGGCCTCAGATATGATGGCAGCTTTTAGAATGTTGAATTTGTGCATGGGATACTCACCAATCATCAAAATTATACACTCATCTTCAGGAACATTGACTTTTGTAGTCCAGGTTTTTCTTGGTTATAGATATTTATGGATTCTATCGAAGCGCATTTATTTAATAAGGTGTGAGTTTGATGTATGGTTTCAATAGACTATTTTGGCATTTTTATGGGCTATGGAAGCATTTCAAGTTGCTAACTTCTATGGTACATTGGACTAAACCTCCCAGCATTTTGTTGTCCTCACTGATAATTGGTTTTATACACACATAAATATATTGGTCTAGCGTTTCCCTTCCAGCCAGGCTGTTTGTGTGTGTCTCTTTTCTACATGCATTTAATGATAAAATTCTTTGCCAATCCACTGTTAGCATGATAAGGGAAACTCGGGACAAAATGTTGTATAATTTCTCAGTTTATACCCTGCATTGGAACTTTTACTTGTAGGTCTCACAAAGTAATTTGAGGGACTTACTTCTGCAATGCTGCATGGATGATGCTGTGATGTTCGACAGAGTGCTTTTGCATTGCTTGGTGATCTAGCACGGGGGTTGAGAATTATGACTTTGTAGCTTAAACCTATTATGATCAAACTTACTTTTAGTTCCTGAGTTCATATACAGTCTGATACATTTATGTCATTTCTACTAGGTTTGTCCTATTCATTTGCATTCCCGGCTGTCCGAATATCTTGATATTGCAGCTAAGCAACTGGTAAGTGGGTAATCATCTGCCTATCCTTGTCATCATTTTCGATATTTCAATCTCTTCTCACTTGCAAGTTTTGATATGCAGAGCACCCCTAATCTGAAGGAAAATGTTCAGTAGCCAACAATGCATGTTGGGCAATTGGAGAATTAGCCATCAAGGTAGATTGATGTCCTTTTAAAGCCTTAGAAATGGGTTTATGGCTTAAATTCTATGAGTTAGATTTTCGAAGGAAGGAAAATTCATTATTTGTTGCTTGAATTTGTAAATCTGTAGCCTTTAGTTGGGGGCCTTTTTTTTCTGTCAAATTCTGGATTGCGCCGTCTAAGTAATTCTAAAAGTTTGCTGCGCTTTAAGTCTACCCAATGTATTGCTGACGATAGCATTTAGTTACTAACACTGAAGGGGCTGATGGGTCTGTATTTATCTTTAGGATGGCATTTATTTGAATTTAAGGAATTAAGGTAAGAGCTATGCTCTTCTTGTTTAGAGTATTTCATGGTAAGAAAGGCAACAATATCTTTGGACGATCCAATGGTAGAGGAAATGTGAATTCACTGTGTGTATTATCTTCTTAGACTAAGTCTTATGGAGCTTTTGCTCTCTGTATATTTTGTTGAATAGGAAAATGCGATACACACACGTGTGTGTCTTTGGACAATCCAATGATAGGAGGAATTTCAATTGGGGAAATGTGAATTCACTGTATGCATTATCGTCTTAGTCAAGTCTCATGGTGCTTTGCTCTCGGTATATTTTGTTGAATGGGACATTTGACTCGCGCGCACACGTGTGTGTGTAGGCACACCATTTTTCTTAATTCAAGTTTGAAGTTGTTTCTCTGTTATGCAACTTTTGGTGGTATCATTTAGGTGGTCATCTTGACTCTGCATTATGTGGAGAACTTTTATTCATTTTGGACTCTCTCGTTGCTTGTTTCTCTAAATGTACAAGTAAAATGGAAAATAAGGTACTGATTTAATTTGGTGGGCAGCTGTGTTTGATTATATGTTGAAAATTGTGTTTCAGGTTCAAAAGGATATGGCCTCCATAGTGATGACAGTTATAACATGCCTAGTCCCAATACTTCAGCATGTAGAGGTGATTATGTTTCCTGTGTTTGTTGCATAATATTAATTCTGTGCCTTTAGATTCTATTTGTCTTGTCCTTTTCTTCTTTGGGTACTTCTGTTTTATAAAGCTGATGCACATTTATTATGGAACATTTTGATTGAAACTTTTGATGCTTCAAAGGGCCTGAACAAATCACTCCTCGAAAACAGTGCAATCACCCTTGGTCGTCTAGCTTGGGTCTGTCCGGAGCTTGTTTCACCACATATGGGGCATTTCATGCAGCATTGGTGCATTGCTTTGTCTGTGTAAGTTACTTGGCTTTACCACAAAGATTGATGCTCTTCTGTATCAGTTTTTCAGAACATCAGACGTGTGAATATGATACATGTTTGCATAAAAGGCGAAACACTGAAAAAGGAACCAAATTATTAGCAAATAAAGCAGTAATTTATTTACTCTTTGATCTTAAGGTTGCTGGTTCCTTGGGAAGTTTTAATAGCTTCAGATACATTGTATATTCTTTATTATTTCATTATGTAGAGATGAGTGTTTGATTTACATAAGATTAATCTGTCAGTAATGCATCGAAGTTTTAGCTCACTTGATTTTTTGCAAGAACTAGTTGACTTATTAGAGTCAGAATTAACACGTAGAATTAGATCTTCATTTGTTGAAGAGATAACCAGTTGTCTTTGTACAACCTTGTGTCCTTTCCTTGAGATTGTTGTCTACTATCCAAGTTGTTTGTCAATCAAGGAATGTTACATAGTGATTCCAGTGTTCGCTATGCAAGCAAAATACCCTTTTAACTGCTAAAAACACTTGACAGGATACGAGATGACGTGGAGAAGGAGGATGCCTTCCATGGTTTATGCGCAATGGTATGCATTTCCCTTTTCTTTTCTTTTTCCCAGGGAGATAGTTGGAGATGATATACATAATATTTAACTTGTTTTCCTTTGCTAACAGGTTAAAACAAATCCATCAGGGGCTTTAAGTTCACTTGTTTATATTTGCCAAGCCATTGCAAGTTGGCATGTAAGTTATATCTTGCTCACTCAATTTCATCTATAAGTTATTAGGAGCAAAAAAGTTTCTTTGTCTTACCTAGGTTCTATGTGCAGGAAATTAGGAGTGAGGACTTGCACAACGAAGTGTGCCAGGTCTTGCAGGGATATAAACAAGTAAGTCACTAATTGTAGTATTTAGTCCCTAAAAATTAAAGTGAAAATGGAAAAAGAAATCTTTTCTTGATTTTCATTTATTTTACAGCTGACACGCAATAAACTTAGTAATGAGATCTGGATTGCAGAAACTCTGGCTGATTGACTCTCTCTCTCTCTCTCTATCCCATTTTTGGTGAACATGGTTTTGCATTATTTGTGCATGATTCTCTCTACATTATGGGATGATGACCTTATTGGAATCCAATAAAGTGGTTTAAGTCATTCACTTGTCTTTCCCTTTTTCTGTGGTTGGCAGCTTATGCTTTGCCTTCTTGATCATCTATAGGAATTGCCTATCCTTCCCTCTCTTCTAGGCTGCTACTCCCCTTTTCACTTGTTTGAGAAAATATAGAACTATACAAAAAGGGATTACATGTCTAAGCTTGAATTATCACAAGACTGGTCTTGTATATTCTTGCCTTTGAATTGTTGTTCAATTTGAAATTTCTGATATTTTCTGTTCTTAAATCTGCAATTTTTGTCCCCCAGATGCTCAACAATGGTGCATGGGAGCAATGCATGTCTAATTTAGAGCCCCACGTGAAGGAGAAGTTAGCAAAGTATGGAGTATAATAATCTTCCGAAAAATCTAACAGGGGATATCTTGTTTGTTTGGGCTCATCTCCATTGCATGATGATGCTTCAGGGTTGTACATCAACCTGCAGTTGCAATATTGTGAGTTCTGAGTATTATCTGATTGTGGAGGATTGTCATACATGCGTTTCTGTCTAAAGACCCGAGTCTGGGTCTCGTTTTCACGCATACTATTGAAGCATGAAGATATTTTATACTCTTCACAGCTTCTGAAGGATTTCCTTTGTCAAGCAATTTGCAATCGGAGGTAAAAGGGGGAAGCAGAGGTTGGAGAGGTAGCTTTGGTGTACAGGGATGTGCTTTTCAAGGTTTTAGATTCACTTGATCATTGTGAACAGAGCAGGGGATAAGTTATTTTTAAAAGTCAAAAACATTTTATTTTTCCTTGTTGGATTGAAGAGTGGTGGTTGACTAAATGTTCTGGTCAATAGGGTCAGTGTGCTGAGTTCCACAAGATTTTGTTAGGAGCGGTATCATATTCATTTGTCATGATACTTGGGGAGTTGTAGTAGAACTGTAATATTTGTTCATTTTGAAGCTGAAGCTTATGCTGCTGCTGCTTCCTGGATTAGGGGAGTGGAAAAATAAGCATTGATGTCTCTCTCTGGATACCAAAGTTTCGAGTTGGATGCTTTTGGTGGTCAAATTGAATGTATTCCTCCTGTTATGGCAGTCTGTTGTATCCAAAAAAAAAAAAAGGGTAGAATTCTCGAGTTATATATTTCAGGGAAGGAGAGTATTTTAATGCTTGGAAGATGCGGCGACGCACAATTAACTTAAAATTGACCTGTTGATTTAGTTTCACAAAAGGTTTTACTACTGAGATTGCGTAATACATTTGTTGCCAGAAGGTCTCAGAATTTGTGCCTTCCCCAAGGCAAAAAGGCTCGTGGTAGCTTATCAAATTCAACGTTTTTCGTCATTTATTGCTTAATTGGATTGGAGATGGAGGAAGCCATTGATGTCTTAAAGACCATACATGGGATCAAAATGAAGGAAAATGGTCACCAAATCCTTTCTCAAAGCATAAATTGTACACGGAATCGTTTTAGCCATAAAACAATCTTCTGGTTTATGTATGCCTCTTATCACCTACCCATCATAGTGTAATTGCCATGCTTTTACAAGGAGCAAGCTTCGCAGCCAATCTGATTTATGCCCCTGAGACGTTAATGGCCCCTGTTAAATTATAACGGGATGCCGGCCGGCGACTCTCTCTTCTTACCAGAGAGACCTGAATCAAGCACGCCTCCTTGACAGCAAAGCAAGTATATAATAGAGAGCAGAATCAACGGAGGACAACGCAATTATGAGCAGCCCAACAAGAAGAAGAGTGAGAGTCGCAGTCTTTAGCTGCAGAAAAAGAGAGAATTCAATCATCTAATCATTCCGCTATTGCACTTGAAAAAGTGCAGTAGCCATCGCTTGAATAGCATTGCGGAAGATTGCTCTTTCATTTGATGTTAGGACTTCGTCAGATCCAAGGTACAGCAATTTCTGAGGGTTGTAAGACTTGCATATGCAGCCAACTCCCAAAGATCAATATATTTTGTAATCAATAAATTTTCGACCAAAAAAAAAGATTAACTACAATAATTCCTCTAAAGTATAGAGAGTTTTTCACTTTGCCCCCTAAGATTAATTTTTTTTTTCCTCATTTCACCCCCAAAACCCTTAGTCTAACTCTATAAAATTTTATAATGGTGATTATGTCTAAAAGACATTCAAACCCCTGAAGGTTAGCTATCATAAATCCCTGGCATAGTTTGTTTTGCGCTATATCCCCAAACGTCATTTTTTTCTCAATCCTAAGACTGTTAGTCAACTATGTTCTTCTATAATGGCCAAGACAAGCAAATAATGTGTAAAAAACATTGATACCATTGTAATAATTAAAAAACCAATATAGCCATATAACTGGGTCTAGTTAAATTTATCCCAAAATTACACGTTCAAGATAGAGGGAGATGTCCCACTCATTTCATGTGAGAAGGCAAAAAGTAAATGACACTGGTCTAAAATATTACTAAAGTCTAAAAACGACTAGAGACATAGTCTTTGTTTCAGGATTTTAAATCATCAGTGATGTGCATATGGGTGCTCTTTTTTTCCCCTAAAAAACTCCTAGGGTTGTTTCTTAAAATGCTATGCTGAGAGGTATGCTTTTCTCAAATTTCAACGGCTTAAAACAGGGGCATTTTAAACGTATTGATGAACTACTATAACCTAGGGGGAACTTTTGTAGTTAACCACAGGAAAAGTACAATCACCTAGAGTATAAAAGATTGTTGACAATAATTGGTTTAGGACTCTCTAGCAAAACCACCTTTCAAATTGGCTGTAGACAAAATTTTCCCATTTTGGCTAATAATATTGTTGTTTTGCAAAAAAAAAAAAAAAAAAAAGAACAAAGAAATAATGATAAAAATGTTTAAAAAGGATATCTTGAGAAAACAGAATTTAGGAAAGCTCATTAGTATACTTAGGAAAGCCCATATGGCACCACCAAGACACCCAACTTTCATGATTGATAGTGGCTACAATTTACTAATATGGATCATTGATGATTGGGTATAATTATGAAGAAGGTGGAGGAAAAGTCTCCTACATCCAGCTCCACATAAAAATTTTTAAGGCTGAAAAAGTTTCTAGGGCTGAAAAATCAGAGAAGTTTCTGGATTCATCAATGCTTAAATGAGAGTTATTACAAATAAACTACGTGCATGAATTGAACAGAGTGAAACTATGAAAACATGGAAGTCTAGAGACGTTCATAAAACAGAATTTCATACCAAGCAAACATAGGTCTAGAATATAACATTATAAACATATCTAATTGCTGCAAAACTCAGAAGTTCTCTTCAACTTTGTGTATTGGACAATTTAAAAATCTGAGGATCTAGGGCATTCTCGTGACGTGATATTTGCAACAGAGCAACTTCCAACTATAAGATGGATAAGTACAAGTCACGGTGATGAAATTGAGTTGAGGACATTGCTTCAGACTACGCCCTTTCTTCTCCCCATTGCCATCCTAAGGTTCTTATGGTTAGATTTAAAGGGGCACCTAATTCAAGAATTTACAAATCCAGTTTTTCGTTCACATCAGGCAGGCACGATGATTATATATTTCCAAACAAGAAAGGAAAGTGAGTGAACATATCAAGGATCATCTTCACTGATGCAGCAGGCAAGAAAATGTTTTTTCTTATTGTAGTATCAGGAATATGGAGAACTTGTTAAATTTTAGTTCATAATTCTTTAGTGATTTTATGATTAAATAGATTAAGCAAAAGTCTAGTCCACAAAGTGGCATACAAAAAAGGTCAATAACCATTGTTATCCTTATCAATCAGGGCAGCCAGTCAGCTTAAGTCATTACTGAAGGTAAGGCATTGATTTAGACTTACCGTGCTCTGAAAGCTTGGCCATTCTATGTACTTTAACTGACTTGGCTGCTCAACAAGAAATCTACTTAGAGACTTCAGAGCCCTGGAGAAAAAAAATAAAAATTTCAGCACCAGAGCAATGAATTTCCCATTAATGTAACTGTTGGAAAATTCAAGAATAGAATCCAATTCGCAATAGGAAAAGGCTTGGACTAAATTCCCATGGACATAAAAGAAGACAATTTTCTTTTTCTTGGTGAGAAAAGATTTACATTTTGGGAATACGATTTGTAACTGCATTACCAGAAAGATTTCTTTAACACATTTGACCAGAAGGGCTCCTGATCAAAATCATCATCAATGCTTGGCAGCTGATGATTTCTACCTACTACAGATAAAGCATATTTATTCCGCACGAAACACGGAGTCCTTCCATTGCCCATCTACAAATAACGTAATAAATTAATTTCAGCTAACTTGTATCATTCACCCAAAAAGATAGACGCCAATTATGGACGACTAGAATTGTTGGAGATATACAACCAATATGAGGGCCAAGGATAGTTACCTTGCCGGATGGCACTGGCATGCTTTGATGATTTCTGAACCTGCTCCAACTGCGACAATGAATACGGGAAGGTAGCTGAGACGAATTACACCAAGCGTTGGGCAAATGACGCCTCCAGTGAGAAGAAAAAACAACTCAAATCAGGCATATCAATATATATATATATATATACAAACCAAACGTACGTAAAATTAAGGGAGGGAGGAACCTTGATAGTTTGGCATCCATCTGGAACAGAGCGCCATCTAATGCAAAAAAAACTAGACCCAATTCTGTCACAGAGTATCCACATCAAGAACAAAAACTAGAAAAGGGAGAAAAAAAAAAGAAAGAAAGAAAAGAAACAGCTGTCGGGTGCAGATAAGAACATAGGAGAAAGGCTTAACAGTAGTTAAAAACCACGGACGGGACGTAATCAGCAAGGAGACTCACACTGGGAAAATAAGAAGAGGAAGGCAATCAAAAGAAAACTAAGAGTGAATAAGCAGAGGTGGCTTCTTTTAGGATAGCATCTTGGCAGTGACATACAGTCGAACATTTGGTGGGTCAAAAACTCAAAACTATGCATGCAGAATAAAAGCGGTTTTGACACATTTACAGCATTTGGTCTACACATCACGGGTCTGTCATCAAGCTGTTTTGCATTTCTCCTCGACGAACACAGATTCTTTCTTTTCTTTTTTTTTTCTTTTTTTTTTTTGCTTTTATTTTTTTTGTTGAGGTTTAAAAACAATCTATTACATCGCGGACGGTTCAATGCAGAAAACCTCCACCTACTATTATAGTAATTGCACTTTATCCTCTTAAAATATTTTAATAGGCACTTTGTATTAAAAAAAATTAATTTTATCTAAGTAATTGACGAAATGACCAACCTATCCTCCTCCATTAAAAGTCGGATAACCTTTTCATGTACATTTGGCATGCGTTCATAGCTGTTAGTGTAAAAAAATCACTACATTATCAGTGTATAAAAAATTAATTCAGAAAAATTTAAGTGGTAATTAATGCTTTTGGTGGGAAAAATTTGCTACTTTAAATAGACTAATTTTCACTTCATAACAGCAGTCTAATTAAAAATATATAACAATAAAATATAATTGAAACAAAAGAAGTAGAATAAAAAAAGAAAAATTAAAGAAGAAAAAGGAACAAATGGAGTTCGAGAATCTTAACAGCCACACTCCATTACATATTTCAAGTTAGCCCAAGTCAGAAAAAATTGCTATCAATGAAAAGGCATTAAAAAATCCTATTTATTATTCTAATTCAAACTATTTATTATTCTAATCCTATTTTAAAAAAATTGCTGTTATTTTGCTAAATTCAAATGAAAATTTTTAGGCTATGCTCCTTTTTGATTATTGTGAAGATTTCAATTGAAATTTTATCTATTATATGAAGTTATGGTATCATGATGAGTTGATGAAGATGATGAGATTTTAAAGTCGTAACAGTATCCCTCGATTTCTTTTCGTATTTTGTCCCTTTTATGTTTCCCCCAACCATTTTAATTGTTATTTAAAGTGATCCTGCATTTTTTTTGATGTATTTTTTAGTATTAGATTTTTGTTATGAAGTGAAAATTAGTGTATTCAAAGTGACATAAAAATTTTCACCAAAAGGAGACATTAGTCTATTAACCAAGCCCCTAGAGTTTTCTCCAAAAAAATATAGATTAAAAAGTCTATTTAGATAGGAGATTATTCAAAATATTATTTAAAATAATTACCGTAGGTGTTGATATAGTATGAAGAGGTAACAATATGTTGACTGAAAAGCATATATATTTGTAATACAAACAATTAATTATTTGCACGTAACGTATGTCCAAACGCATCCATATTAGTATGCTGTGATTAGGCACGTCTTAGCGTTGAAAGATGAACCAACTTATGCGATACTCAAATTGAATTCAACTTGGTAAAAGTTCGTCCAAATTTGATTCGCCAACTAGTCAAACCAAGGTTGAACATACTGGTGACGTATTAGGAAATTTCATGCTTGATGTTTAAGATGATGAAATGTATCAGTACCAACTAGTATCTTGTGATTGGGACACGTATTTAGGAAATGGTCATTAGGAAACTTCATGCTTGATGCGTAAGATGATGAAATGTAAGTGGAACATCAAAGGCAACATTTATGGCTTGGGATGGAAGAATTTATACACATGATGATTGGCAGTAAGCAAGTGCCAGCAGGCGGCAGCGAGGGATGATTTTCTTTCTGTTTTTAGTCGTAACTGGAAACGCATATACAACGCAATTGGTGGACGCATTGGTTCCTAGTTGCAGCAGCCATTTCTACCCTCTCCCACATCTCTTTTCTTGTCATCTCTCTGTGTTGAGCCGCAGATTCTTCAAGTGCAAGCCGCGAGAGGCACCTGATGTACAAACTTGGTTCCAATCCTTGCAGCATCTCCTTGACGTTCTGCGTCAACTGCTTCACGCTGTTGCTCCAGTGATATTTCAGATTCTTTTCCATGCCTCGAACCACCACGGAAGCACATCTTCCATTGCCTGCGACGCCATCTTCACAAACTGCTCGTTGTTCCACACGTACAGCCCCCGCTCCGCAACCTGTTTCCAAACCATTCAGTTTCAAGTTTGGTGCAGATGAGTACGATCAAAGAGGAGTAGAAACTTAAACAATGGATTTGAGAAAAAGAAAATTTATTTTTGACCCGTGAAAGAGAGCAAGGGAGTATGTCCTTAGGACGTTCCCAAGGAATTTCCATCCGGATAATCTGTTTACTAAATTAGAAGGAAATGCTGCTATTGACTTGGATCAGGCAGGGCCTCGCAAGATCAGATGTTTCCTCTGGTGTTGGAGACGAACAAATACAAATAGGAAATCTGACAACAAAGTACTTTACCTGTGAGTTCCAACTGTTCAAACACTTGGTAATTTGGGTACACAAGGGCAGTGCAATAGTCCGGTAGTGTTCAGGATCTATGTTTTCCACCACATCCTCTAACTCCCCGATGAGCAGAACTTCCTTCTGACAGTATGTCACCGGCCAATATCTTAGCATTCCTCTAACGACAGTCCCACCAAGAGCTGCGTCCTTGTGCACGAACTGAGAGACGCAATAAGCCAACTGTCTGTGGTAAGCCTGCATCCCTTTTGGCTTGTGCAGGGGAATTAGGACTCTCGTCAAGAAAAGCTTGTGTTCTTGCTTGAGCGGAACTGTGAAACCGTTGATGATGCTTCCCCATATCTCCAGAAGGTCTCCGATTCCGCAGTGGTGCTGATCCGCCTCGAAGATGTAGTGCAAGAAAACATCATTCATTGCTTTCCGCATGAATGATCTGTAGAATGTGAATTTGGAGTATATCTGATGGCACACGTTCTTGAGGCTTTCGCGTTCCTTTGGATCTTCAGACTGGAACAGGGAAAGCAGATTGACAAGGAAAGAATGATCTATGTATTCACGAAGCTCTTTGGGGTCAGTCTTCAAGAGCAGACGGTGGAAGATGTCGAAAACAATCTGCAGATGTGACCAGGCAGCCTGAAGGGTGGCAACAAGCTCGTCATCATCGGCAGGATACAGATGAGAGAAGTCTTACTGGGGGGAGCGGGCGGAAAAGATTGGCCGACAACATCGAGAAAACAGACGACAGAACCTCACGACTGAATGCGGTTTTCGAGCATTTTATAATGGAAAGCAGCTGTATGAGCTTAAGCCTCTTGAGATCTTGCTGTGAAGGAGATTCCTGAGGATTATTGAAGGTATAAAAGACGGAACAATGTGGGATCAAAGAGAAGATTTCCTCATTTTCAGAATCCTGGCATTCTTTCCTGGGAGAACCGTTACTGCTCCTGGCAAGCTTACTTGCACCATTTCTGGGAGAATCAAGATCAAAAAGTTTCTGCAAGGTCATAGACTTCTTCTCCCTCGGACAAGCTTTCAGGCTGTCCCTCCTCAGACCCATATTCTTCCCTCCTTCCGACCTTCAGGCTACACTGGATCCATCCGTAATTGTCCAGAAAAGTACAAAACGCCCTCAAGGCTCCTACCGTCCTACGAGGTGCCAAAACTAGAAAGATACTGACAGAGGGAACAGCAATGTCTGATGTATTCTATTTGTCTTAGCTCGCTTGTCGATTCACCCAAGTGATGAAACGATACTCGGCCAGATAACAAACGGTACTTCGTAGGTAGGAGGACGTATTGGAATATCCGCAAAGAAAATCAAGCATTTCGCAGCTAATCTTCGAACTAAGACAGCTAATATGAGCTGCAGGGCTTCTTTGTTTTCTTGTTTCCTGTCCGGTGAACGCCACTTGGCTATCTGTATGCGAAAGAAAGTACTCTCGTAGCTAAATCCAATGATTGGAATATTCGTAGTGTAATATTAACTGTCAAACAGACAAAAATTAGGACCTGAGAACCAATTTAGTGCAAACTGCATGTGGATTGATTTCACCTTAATCTTAAATTTTTTAGTATGGCAAACAAATCAAATTGACCCTGCAATCTACTCATTAGTAGGTATCATTGGACTCTTTCAGCTGGTTCAAAGGCTCGGCCGAAACCAAGTCATCACTGGAACAGGATTTTCCGTTCTGATGATACCGGGATAAAATGATTTCGAAATAATGGATCACCGAATACTTGACCGAGTCGTCTCCGAAACGGATAGAAACGGTCAAGTCGTCCCGACTCAACTCGAATATTTATTATTTCTGCTAATTTTATTTATATTTATATATCATTTTTTTTACACTTTTTTGAATATTAAATGTTTCAAAAGTTTGGGTCTCGTCGAGACAACGACCAATAAGTCGAGATCGATGTAAAACGGTGAAGACCACGACTGCGACTTTGAATCATGCTTTCAACTAGAAACACATATCTAATGGCGCGCCATTAACTTACAACTGAAGATATGAAGCAGGTTTCATCACAATATCAGATAACAATCAAGGCTTCAGGATGAAGAGTATATATAAGCATATAATCGTGCACCAAGTCTGCCACTAAAGTCATATTTGATTATTTAAAGAACTTCTCAAATAATGTAAGGCTTTGTTCCATGATATTAGCCAACTGAGAACCATCCCACAAATGCAGTAATTAGCATCGCAATAATGGAAACGGAGTCCATTATTTTATGCATAAAAATTTATCATGTGGTACACAGGACGAAAATTTGGAAACCAATTGCTTTTGCTTGCTACACATTGGGCAAGGCTGTACCAAAAGCCCAACCAGAAGAACCAGAAGACCGAGAACCATGACTTTCAGAAAAGATAGAGCTAAATCTCAAAAAATAAATTGGGTTGGAGGGATGCACATCAAAATAGATCCGGAGCAGTGACTAGGGGTATCTTATAAAGGAGAAGATGCTGCAGAATACTTTATTCTCAACTTATTGAAAAATAGAGTATAAACAATGATATCAAGAGTCAAGGTGTCTGTACTGAGGGCCGGAACATAAGTTTAAATTCTTCATGCATCAGAACAAACTAACACAATTTCAACTAACACGTCTTCTAAAAAATCTTAACAGAATTACTTGATAACATAATCATCTATTTAGCAAATATAAACTAAAATATTTACCAACAAACTAACATTATTATCTTTAGTATCAAAAATTATTGAGCTACTAATTAAATTATTCTAGTATAAAAAATAATCTAAAAAATCTATAGAAAAAATTGACATACCTCAACATTCTTCCTTGTCACTTTTACTGCAGATTTCCAACTGTTTTCTTAGGTATTCAAACCTTATTTTGAACGAGACCTTAGTAAAAATGTCTATAAGTTGGTCATCAATCTTGCAATGAACTACAATAATATTTTCACTCTTTTGAACTTCTCGAAAGAAATAATACTTAATCTTGAAGTGCTCAGTGCTTCCATGAAACACTGAATTGTTGGAAATTGCTATGGCACCCTCATTATCAACAAAGATATTAGTAGCTCCTTGTTAAATATGCTTCAAATCAACCAACAATTGGCTAAACACAAGGCTTGGTTAAGCACTAGTAGCAGCAACATATTTTGTCTCAATGTTAGATTAAGTCACCATATCTTGCTTCTTTGAATTCCACGAAAAGTATCCAGAATCCAAGTTGAATAAATATCCAGAAATGCTCCTCATGTCGTCATTCATTGTTGCAAGTGTGAAGTCTTCCTGCAATGTGGACATTGAGGAAATTTTCCTCTTCTTCCTTCATCTCTGCTAGGCTCACCCTCTTTCTTGTTTTCTTGTTCCACTGCTGTTTCTTCCCCTTGCCACCTTGCTAATTTGGTTTTTGTCTTTCGCCTAAAAAGCATCTTCTACTACTTCTTCCTTCTGGATGGATCATGGATCTCCTATGCTCTTGTGCTTATGGAGCATTGATCAGGTCGGACAACGTGATTTCAGAGAGATCCCTTGAATCTTCAAGGGAGGAAATTTGGGTTCAAACATTTCAGGTAAACTCACCAAGACTTTCTATATGACTCTGTTACTTGATGGTTGTCCTCCAAACAATCTAATTTTATTCACAATATCTAAGAGTTTATCAGAGTACTCTTTAATGTTTTATGTGTTTTTCATCCTAAGGAGTTCAAATTCTCTCCTAAGGTTCAAAATTTACATCTATCTTGTTCTGTCATTAGCTTGGAACCTACTTTCAAAGCATCCCAAACTTCTTTTGCAGTTTCACAAGTCATAATTTTTGTGAATACTGCATCGGAAATTGTTGAGTGGATGCACGTCAGGTTTTTTATCTCCTTTTGATTGTATCTCTACGGGCTCTTATCTCTGCAATCATTGGATCTTCAGACAATACAGGACTAGCGTCTGTCTGTCTCGAGCATATCCCAAAGATCGCTAGCCATCAAATGGGACCTCATTTTGATAGCCCAAATTTGGTAATTAGCTCCAGTAAAACTTGGATGGTTGGATAAGAAGTTGCTTCCAGGCATTTTCTTGTTGAAGGCTTGAGCGTATAATTTTATACTGAAAAGGAATCCTCATCAAGTTCACTTACTCTCGGGGGGGGGGGGGGGAAGAGGGGGAAAGACACAGGCCCTTAAGACTTAGGGTACGTTTGATAAAATTAAAGTTTGAATCTATTAAATTATTGAATTGTTAAGTAGTAAATCTAATACATTTGACTGCATATCACATTTAGTAATAAGTGAATATCTTATCAATTAATTTTGGATCCAAGTTTTGCCTAGAAAATTCAGTGCTGCTTAATTAATTCAGATGTTCAATTTTTGGTTATCAAACAGTCTAAATATGTTAAGATCTAAATCCATTAAGTTTAAGTGTTGAACATCAAACAAGGCCTTAGACTAACAAGGATATCAAATTGTATTGAAGGCTAAAAAATGAGCTTAAATTCTTCATTCATTAACAATATATCTATAGTATTTACAAAAGAACAAACTAATATAATTTCAATTGACAATTCTTTAAAAAAATCTCAACAAAACTACTTGATAACATAATCCCCACTTAGAAAATCTTAGTTAAAATATTTATTAACGAGTTAACATGATTTTTGGTTAACAAACACCCTAAGAACAAGACTTCATTGGCTACTAGTGAAATTACTCTAGCATCAAAAATAATCTAAAAAAGTTGGAAAATAAGAAGTAGAGGAAAAATGTACACCAAGAACAACAAGGATTGAGCGCATACATAATTAATCATTGAGAGCCTTGGGAAGTGTTCTGCTGGGTATTTCAACCTTTAATTGATAACTAACGGGGGAAAATGACGGAAGAAGAAAAAAGTGGAATGAGGGACGAAAGTAGAAAAGCAGAGTGCTACCACGTACCAACTGGGTACCAACAAACCATTCAATGAATACGTGGAGGAGGGAATAATAGTGTTGCAGTGGCTTGGTAGTGACACGCGTCATTAGCATCTGCTAATCAAATAAAGAAAAAAAAAGAAAAAAAAAATTGTCCCGTGTGGCTAGCGTGTTTTTAAAAAATCAAAGCTGATTAGGAATTGGGGTTCTTGTAGGTAGAAGATAACATTTACCAATTTAAATTAAAAGGAAAGGAGGACGAAACTGCCAGTGTGGAAAAATTTTTCATTTTCCCCCGTTAAATGGGTTGTTATCAAACCATTTTTTTTTTTTCACGGAGTGGTATCCGGACCTTTGACCCGACTAATTCCATTCTGGCATGAGAGAGGAAGCCCCACTCCACTCCGAGCACGGTAGCAAGGGGGCTCGAACCTTGGTTGTCCAGATAAATCTACCATATCCTAAAGAGAGGGAGCTGACCGCTCGAGCTAATCCTTGCGCATTTTGGTTTTGTTTTAGTTAAAGTGTTAATTATTATAGTAATTATTATTGTTTTATCGTTAAGAAAAGTCTACTTAAGGTTGTGGTCGGCTTGACTGTCTCCAATTTATTGGTGGTCCGAGTCCCTTCGATTTAGGTAAGACCCTGCGTTTCAGCATTAATAATCATTTGCTCCCCGGTGCCCAATGGAATTGGACCGCTTGGCAACTTCGTTAGACAAAAATCCCGCCCGCGGTTCGTCAGCTCGTAACCGCGCTTCATTTTGCCCTTTAAATTTCTCTCTCTGAATTAAAAAAAATATATATAACTAAAATTAATCGAGTTCGAGTTCGAGTTCGAGTTCGGATTCGAGCGCTCCTACTTACTCTCACTCAACCCAAGATATACCAACCCAAAAGCCAAAACAAGGGAAAATAATCAGATGGAGTTGGACTGCTGTGGCATGCTTCTGTTTAAAAGTCCCTATTGTGAATGAGCTTTTTAACTCATCCAAGCTATTTTGCTTAACAATAATACTGGCTGTAGGTGGTCGTCCCTGATGATTCCAAACGTAAGTTGACAAGTTACAGGCACTTTCTTTGCTCAGTTAAATTATGAAAAAATAAATAAAATTAAGCTACTATACTACTATGCTAGCCAGTCTTCACGATGATTATAATTCAGAATGTTTGAGTCAAACTAGTTTGTAAATCTGTTGGGTGCTCACGTAGAAGCCTTATCCAGCTTTGTCGGCGGAGCTTAGGCATTCAAAGCAAGGAGGGTAAAGAGATAATTTAACGGTGATAGTGCGTATATTGTCGGAGCGCAATGGTGAAATTTTGTTGTTCCGTTCTTGATTTCCGTCAAGAAAATGTCAGAAAAAAAAAGCATTAAGTCAATATAATGTTATGGAAAAGAGCAAATGACACAAATTGTCACTCTACTATTTATATTTTTTTGTTTTAGCTACTAGACTTTTATTTAGCTAAAATGATCATTCAATTAATTAAAACATACTTCTCGTGATATAAAAAAATGTATATTTTTATTATTTGAGTGATTAAAAGTTTAAATTTTTATTAGTTTAAGTCACAAAAAAAATTACGCTATTTGGTTATTTGAATGAATGGCAATTGTAGTTCAATAAATAGTTTAGCGATCAAATCACTATATTCTGAATAGTTTAATAACTCTTTTTTGCCATTTTCTTTGTGGAAAATTAAATGAAGTAGCACTTCATTTCATTTAGAGCTAGACACTTTAGTTGAGATTTTTTTTTTTTTTAAAAAAAAAGTTTTAATTCACACAGTAATCAGTCGAATTTACTCAACAAGCTTCGTTTGAAGGCCAAAACTTGGTTAGATTCAATAACTCATATTGTGTCGCATCACTTTATGAGATGATGTGATACAATTTAGGCTATTAAACTTTTGAAAATCGGATCTATCCAAATATGAGTCATGAGTTAATGCATAATTGTCTTACAAAAAACATGAAATGCATGGCTCTAGAGAAAAGTAACACTCTCCATTGGTGATTGTACAAGATAAAAAGTGTTAAAGTGGAGTAGGAGGCTTGTGTGGACTAAATTACTCAAGCATGGATGCCCAAAGTTGAAGAAATGCAAATCCTCCTCCTAACACACATATTTGCACTAAATTGGTAAGAATGTATGAAGAGCAACAATTGTCTGGTCATGGTGTTTGGTGACACCATAATCTCCACATGGCACAATCCACTATTTTATCTCTGTAAAAAAAAAAAAAAAAAAAAATTTTAAGAGTTAGGGAGTATCCCAGGTTCACTTACGTGTCTCCTGTATACCAATGCGCGTGGACCCTCACTCTCCCCAAATCCTCTCAAACTCCCTATATCCACCCGAATCTCTGATACCTCACTCTCCCTCACTCGCTTGTTCTTCTTCCCTTTCCGTTTTCTATCTGGTTCTTCTCCTTTCTCTTTCTGTCCTCCTGCTCCGACTCGACTTCCCTCTCCTCCAAGACAACTAACTCTACTCAGTCCAGTCCACTCCAGTCCCAATTCCCGCACGTAACATAACGGTGATGATGAGGATGAGGAGGGATTGAGGCGCCTGGTTACTTGAGGAACGAACGAACCAAAATCGAGAAAGAAAAGACTTCTTATCAAACTAGAATTAGGCAGACGCATGATTCTGATCCAATATGGAAACGGCAGCGTCAATTAAGCCTCATCATCATGCCTATAAAATTGGTGGTTTTCGACTAAATTCTCCCAATTCCAATACCAAAGATTTGGTCCCCAACGGCATTGACAACAACAACAACAACAGCTGCTGCTGCTGCTGCTGCAATATCACTGCCGACATCGAGATGATTACTTTGCAAGCGGCTGCTGCTTATACTAGCCTCAAGGACTTGATGCCCACGTCCCCTCGTTCTCCCAATGCGCCGGCGATCGCGTGCCCCGCCACCGCCTGCAGGAAAGACAGCTTGAGGGACATACCGATCAATCTCAAGGACCCGCTCCTGCAACACGCCGCCTGGGCTTATCTTCAGCCCGCCATGACGCCGCACGATCACCGGGCCCACGCCTGCAGCTTCCTCCAGAACCTCAAGCACCACTGCTCTGGCGTTTTCGGCTGCTTTAACGACGTCCTCCTCGTGCTTCTCAACTCCTGGTTCCCCGCCAACGACAGCATCAGAACAAGAAGAAGAAGAAGAAGAGGAGGCCCTGATGATGATGACGAAGAGAAGCAAGAAGAGGATCAGGAGAATGCTGCCGCCCCCGCAGGTGGTGATGCATCATCGAAGAAGACGACGGCGACAACTCGACTGGCCGGCGTCCATTAACGACTTACCATCTACAAACTTAACACCTGTCCCCCTACAAAAAAAAAAAAAAAAAAAAGGCTGCTTTTTTGAAGCTTTGCTCTGACTGGTCGCTGTACTCTAGTAGTAGACCACTCCGGCTTTTCTTAGTTCTGCTACGTGCTGCTCCCACCAATACTCTTGGAAATTTTGTACAGAGACCTTTGGCTTTCTTTTTCGTGGGTGATGTGTACATGCGAAAAACAGTAGTGCTTGCGACAAAATTTATTGAGTATTAATATATAATTTGCTCCTTGATTGTGTGTATATGTTGTGGAAATTTTTTTGTCTGGTTCGTATTTCTGTAAAAAGTTGCTGCCTTTTTTTTTATTTTCCCCCTCTTAAAGAAAGGTGCGTGAAGATAATACTAATATGCTACATCAATATTCTTGTCAAATCTGCAACTGTCTTTATCGTTTGACGTGAGAAAAAAATCTACATATTCGCGTTGAATGCTAAATTGAGTGAGTATCTTCTGGATGGATAGCTTCTTCGAGGCAATTACATGATTTGTCACTATTCCTGTCTGCTAGTTTAATGTCGCAAGGCCACAATGACGATTTTTTATTACAGTAACCATCCACCTCAGAGGGATTCAAAATCTGCAGTTGGAATCCTCTCAATACCGATTTTCGGCGCGAAATTTAGTGTCAATCTCGCTCGTCATCTCACGTGGAAGTAGAAGAAACTTAAATCAACTTTGCCCGACAAATTGAATAAACACGAGACATAAATATAAAAGTTGCACTGATTTGGCTCCGAAAAAGTGTCACCGAACATTACACGTGCAAAATCTACTTGAAATTGATTCACAGGTGCTCACCATTTTACTCAACCTGCTGCTCAAAGTCAAACTGCTAGTATCTGCTCCAGTTTGGCTGTTTGGTACTGCAACTACTTGTCCACATACACCATTGCTGTCTTACATTGTAGGATGCCAGCCCACCACTCGCGTAAACAAACATGTACTCGGCCTGATTAGGATACCTCAATGACAGATGAGTTATCAAGATGCAACCAACAACTCTAGTGATCCTTAAGGTTCTACTTAGGTGTAGGTTTAGAGATCAAATCTTTTGACGGCTGACAATCAATTCAAGATTTTTTGGAATTTTGCTAGCAGACTGTGTAGGTATTGTCGGGATTGGTGGCAGTTCAGTCTTTCGGATTCACCCTGAATCCCTTGGATCCCCTCTTCTCCTAGTGTAGAATAAAGTAGGAATAAGGGTACATATAGTATATGATCTTGATTGCCAAAATTTTCGAACTTGAAGATGCAATCTAGCTACAAAGATGAATAGAAGATAGGTTGATGTGCTTGAGTAAATCTAAGGATATCATGTTTTCTTATTGCACACCTACACAAGTGGGATTGTTTGGATTGAGATGATTCCGGATAAAATAATTTGTTTCACAAATTTCAATCAATTTTTATCCTTCTAATCATCTTTTGATCTCACATATATCACGTCACAAAAAGTGCTACAGTAAGTTGCACGATAAGTTGCATCTAAAGGTTTTTTATAAAAAAAAAAAAAAAAGTTTCCAAGTTTAGTTTCTTGTTGGTTTAGATGCTGAAAACAAAAATGTTAGCATGCACCTAAAGAAACAAGAAAATGAGAAAGGAAAATGTTAGCCAATATCCTCAACAACTAACATAATCAATCATGTTTACCTAGTCTAGAATTTTGTGCATATAAAAAAGAACTCTTGCAGATAAATATATGTGTGTAAAATCCTAATTAGAATGGGTAAGTGTAAAGAGCTACCACATAACATGAAAAGATGTATTAAGCCAAAATTGTCATTATATTAACTAAATTAATTTGTGACTTTTTCTATCGTGCATTCTTGATAGAAATTTGTCGCAAACTAAAGTTTATTATTTTGGAAGTAAATTAACGTCCAAACTTATACGGGGCACAAACAGACAAATGATAATTCCAAGATCCCGAAGACAAAAACAATCCTGTGTCTACTATGGTACATGAAACTTTTCTATCCTCAAACTATTTGACACACTGCATTTATTTGGTTCTCAGAATCGAAAACCCACCTTGGAAAACCGCAATAAACAAAGATTGGTAATAAGGGTACGAATTTAGCATTAAACCTAACACTAATCATCAACAAAAGAGAGGCCCCTGTTCAATACTCCTCCGTCCCACTTTGATAGTCCTGTTTTCCCTTTTCGTCTGTCCCAAATTGTAGTCCACTTTCTAATTGAATAATATAATTGTATTTTAATTTTTCTAAAATACCTTTATTCAATATAAGTTGTTATTACTATAAACTATCTTATTTAATATAGATTGTTAGTATTGAATATAACCTACCCCATTTAATGCATTTAGATTTTCCAAAACATATTGATATATGAAAAGGCAACTTTATTTAATGTAAGGGTATTTTAGAAAAATAGCAATCTAAATTTATTTTTTCAACAAAGTTAACTACTTTTTCTTAAATTCTGGAGTTTCATATGTATGGCTTCTCATCATCCCCTTGTTAACAGATTCCTGAAAAAAAAACCAAAAAAAAAGGTGCTTGGTCTAGTCATCATCATATTCTCAAACACATGCAGTGCTTGACAACAATAGTGACGGTTGATGCACTTTCAAAAGATTAGGTATACATTTTCATGTATAAGCTATCCCATTCATACGTTAAGTTGATGCATACAAAGAAAGTTGATACGTGTAACAAATTTATATGAGTATACCAATATATATACATACATGTATATGTATGTATGTATATATGTAACAAAAGTACATATGAGTAAAAATTTTGGAGAGCCTTTAAACTATTGCCGTTGTCTACTTTTGGCCCCTCATCTAAATTTTGTTTTCGATTGGCTCTTGAACAATTAAAACTGCACACTTTGAGGACTTCCGGATGATTTTAGACATAAATTTGGCCGAATTTAAAGGATATTTTTGTCCATTCATAATTGAACTTTTGAGACCAGTATCAAAACTCTCAAAAGAGGTAATCCTTCAATTTTTTAACCATATCATTAGATTTCTCTTCACAAATCTTGTGCTTAAGGAAAAATCTAATTGTTCGAGGGCTAATTAAAAATAAAATTTAGAGGAGAGACCAAAAATAGACAACGCGGCAATAGTTTAGCGCTTCCCGATCTTAAATATCAACTTCATACAACATGGCCGTACCTGCTTCATTCCAATTGGAAGATAGTCAATACTTCAGCAGTGGGCCACGTACATAAACAAAGGTACAAAACGTTTTCTGTTCTTTTTGCGTTTAAACACGAAACGCTTTAATGTAAAACTACTAGACGTAAAGGATAGTATATTCAAACCTATAACGCGTTAACCAGAAGCAGCAGCAGCACAAGTGGCAAATTGGACGGTAACCTTACAAATTAATTGCGGCACAAATGACCTTAATCCTTGCAATTCGTAATATGCTAACATATTTTGTTTGAGAGCTCAACATGAATTATTTTGAAATTGTTTCTTGATGTACAATTTTGAGTAATTTTCCGTATTACTTAGGATGCATAATACTACAGTAACTAGTACACTAATATCCCATAGCCATTACTCAAACACGAATCAAAGATGGTACAAAGGATTACTATGTCTATATGCAAAACCAAAAAAAAAAAATCAGTAAAAGAAAGAAGCCAGGAGGATTGCGAGATATTTTGTATACCAAAGAGATAAGCTCGAAGTTGGGGATGCGATAACAAGGAAAAGATGAGAACGACTACCAGAGTTGGAGAAAGACGGAAAGAAAGAAAGAAGACTCCTCCACCGCCCTACCTATGATTCCTACTCTATCGAGCTTTTTGGAGCAGACGGTCAGCCAGTGAAGGAAATGGGGCAGGAACGTGACAACCGTTCCTGAAGGTTCACGGCCACGATGTGGCCTAAAAAATTTGTGCGATTCAGATTACAACATGTAACTCGATTTTCACGTCATGTGTGGAATCCATAAAAAAGTGTTGTAAATTACGTCGTGTGCAAAGTAAGTTACACCGTGTGCAATGGAAGTTACGCGTAGTGAAAAATGAATACAACCAGCTGCAACCGTTTGTGCCCCTTGTCCGCCAGTGAAGGACCATGGCAGGAACGGCTACAACTGTTCCTGGCGGATTTGTGCATTTTGCATACCACGTAACTTTAGAACAAAATTTTATGGGTCCCACACACGTTGTGAAAATCGAGATACAAGACGTAATCTGGACCATACAATTTTTTGTGGCCAAATCCTAGCCATGAACTGTGCAGGGACGGTCATGCCCCTTATCCGCCAGTGAAGCCCCATCTTGGGACTCGAAAAATTTTCAGGAACAAGGGGCCGAATAGTTATCACGAAAATTGTTCGAGGCAGTTTTCCGTAAAATACACATAGCATAATTCTGTCTGTCTGCATACGATGTAATTCACTTTCAATAACGTGCAATTATAGAACAAAATTTTGTGAGCCTCACATATAGTGTGAAAAATGAGATAAAAGATGAAATTTGAATCTTATTTTTTTTGGCTAAATCTTGATTATGAACTGCAAGGAACTGCCTAAAACCGTTCCTGCCTCTCTTCCAATTTACAGTGATATGTCAAGAGCACTGTTAGGGCAAGCCAAGAATTGGTGTTTCATGCCTATTACGTACTAGTAATATAGGGTCTGCTTGGAACCTAAATTTTTTGCCAAATTTGTTTGCTACTAGTTTTTTAATAACTTTAGCTACAATAACATAAAAATACTTATCAAATTTTTTGACCTGCACACTTCAAAATATCTAATACACAAAAAACTTCATCTTTTCTTCTTCTATCTCCCCCACCCCATCCACCACACTTTCATCGCGGCCACCACCTCCGCCACTGCTTCCGGCGCCGGCTTTCCCTTTTTTTCATTTCTCCCTCTCCCTCTCCCCTCCCCCCGTGACCGATGTTGGTGCTCCCCTCCTTTTCTTTTTTTTTTTTTTTCTCTCCCTCCCTCTCTCCTTCCCTCCCCTTCCCCGCCACCCTCCCCATTCCCCTAGCTGCGATCTGGTCGCACGACCAGATTGGGCAAAAGGGAGGGGAAAGGAGAGGAGAGTAGGAAAGGGGAGGAAAGGATGAGAGAAAAAGCAAAACAAAAAAAGAAAAAATCGGGGCTACAAGTTCTTAGTGATCCAAGGGAGAAGCTTCATTTGCATTCTTTCATAAGTCCACCCGTTCGCCCATGATCAGCTTCGTGCTCCTACAAAGCGTTAATCGTTTCGGATCCCATTGCACATGTCTCTGAAGTTG